CCCGCCGCGGGATGCCGGCCCCGGGCCCAGCCCGGAGGCGTTGGTGAGGTGACCCGCGGGGCAGGAGGGCCGGACCTGCGACAGACAAACCCCCGACAACGCTCCCTTCCCTCCCGGGGCCGCGGACTGGAGCCCGGGGCCGCTGGTGCCCCGGCGGAGCAGCCCCGGCGCTGATGACACAGGCTGAGACTCGGCACCGGCCGCCGCCGACCCCCACCGTCTCCCCTCACCGCCGCCGCGTCGCCAGGCAACGGCGCGCGCCCCGCGGTGCCGCCGCGGTGACGTCACTGCCTCGCGAGAGCTCGCCCCGCCAAGCCGCCCCGTGAGGCTCCGCCCCTCCTCTTTGCGCCGGTGCGGCACCATGGGTGAGTTCGGCCGCCGCGGGGCCCGGCCGCCATCCGCCGCCATCTGCTCGCCGCGCCGCCGCTGCCCGTCCCTGTCCCTTACCGGGTAACAGCGGGGGGTGCCGCCAGCCCGCACCGCCCGCTATTGGGGGCGGCCGCGACGGCGCCGAGCTGCTGGTGGGGGGAGGGTGCCCAGGCCCAACATGGCGACGGTGGGGGGGTGGGGGTGGAGGTGGACGGCCTTGCTTTGCCCTGCCTTGCTGCGGGCCCCGAGCGCTGAGCTCGCTCTCGGCGTTTTCCGCAGGGAACCCTGCGGATGAGGTGAGACGCCTTTCTAGGGGACCGAGCAGGAGGGGTGGGGGGTGACTTTGTGAAGGAGCTGGTTGGCGGGGGCTTGGCGGGGGGCGCTGGGGAGATGGTCCCTGTGGGGGACCCAGTGGGCTGGGCAGAAGCAGGGTTTTGTTGGGGTGCCTCTCGTAAGGGCTCAGCGTGCAGGTGGGATGGGGGTCCCTTCCCATGGAGGACCTACCAGACCCCGCCGATAGCGTAGGGTGTCTGCTGTAGTGTGCCTCGTGGCTTGGGATGGGGCACTTGCCATAGCGTGCCCAGCACATGAGGTAGGTTGAGAGGCTGCTTCCCAAAGGGACACCCGTCAGACAGAGTGGAGGGAGTCTATCTGCCTTGCACGGTCCTGCTGGAAGGGAGGAGGTTGAGGTGGGTCTGAGTATCAATGATGAAGCTTCTCTAACTGCTGCATAAGGCTGAGTGCACTGTGCGGATACCAACCTTGGAGAGCTGAGGACTCAGAACCGTTTCCCCGTGCCGTGGCCAGGTGGACTCTGTGCAATCCTCTGACCACACTGCTCTCCATTCAGGTATCTCCAGGGACAACTGGCATAAGCGTCGCAAGACTGGGGGCAAGAGGAAGCCTTACCACAAGAAGAGGAAGTATGAGTTGGGGCGACCTCCTGCCAACACTAAGGTGGGTGATTTGGGGAGGGTGGTCAGTAGTTGTGTTTACAGACACCCGGGTTGCTGGTTGTGTGCTGTTGGAGGCTTAAATATGTGTTGTGTTTTGTGAGTGGTTAAGTATCTGTCACTGCTTCTTTAAGATGTGGTACTTTTCTTTATGCCTATGGAAAGCAGTGATACGTTTTTGCAGTAAGAGGCAATTGGAGTGATGAAATTTTCACCTTAGGTAGATGCAACAGACCGTTCTGGTCACTTACCGTATCTGCCGATGCTGGGGTTTGTCATAGTTACACTGACCACATTGCCTTTGAGCTTAGGACTTGGCTGGGCTCCTGTGTGAGCTGTGCAGCATTCCAGCACCAACGACACCCTGGTGTTTGTTTCTGGCTGTAGATTGGCCCACGCCGAATTCATACAGTGAGGGTTCGTGGTGGAAATAAGAAGTACCGTGCCCTTCGGTTGGATGTTGGCAACTTCTCCTGGGGATCGGAATGTAAGTGTATCGTAAGCCTGATGTGTTGGAAGGGAAAATTCTGTTACAGCTGTGCTGGTCTCTGCTACTGCTGCAGAGTAGAGGGATGATGATGATGCAAGTGTGGATTTGTAGGCTGGGTTTGAAAATCACAGAGCTTGCAGTACTGGGTCTGAAGCAGCATGCATCGTGATGATAACTTTGACCTTACATGGCCTTAGGAGACTTGGATGTCTGCTAAGTTCACAGTGATTGGAGTGTCGTAGTTACACTGAGTGATGTGCTCATCTTACCTTTCTACTGGGGGAGTACTACAGAGGGGCAGAAAACCTAAACATGGGTAGTTCTTCATAAATGCAACTTGTTCTGTTTATGAATGAACACTTAACTAAAAGGCGGTCTTGTACAAGAGAGAAAGGTGTTGAGGATTTTGTCCTAGGGCCGTGCCTTCTCAGAAAAATCCTAGCAGGTGCACTTTACTTCATACTCTTGTTTCGCTAAGCAAAAGCGGGAAGCACAGAAGTGGGAGGAGAGTCTACAGTGTTTCCCCTGAGCAAGGTGGGGTTTCTCTGAATTACGAACTGAAAACCATATGACTCGAGCCTGGGCCTGTTCAGTGTTACTCAGTGCGATGGTAAAGTCAGCAGTGAGGTGGTGTTTCAGTGGGCAGCGTGGTGTGAGGGAGAAAGGATATGCTTTCTCCTCAGTGATCACAAAGTGTTGTCCATGCTGTGATAAGTGCTGTCATTTATAGGCGTTATTACAGAAGTGAAGGGACTGAGCCTACCTTGCAGAACAAGGATGAGGTGCATGAGCAAAGAGGAGAAAACCCATCTTGTGCCTGGCCTTTGCATACTTGGAGGGCTGTGTCTCCAGAGCAGGCAACTGCTAACAGTCAAATCTAGTAGCTGAGACTGAATGCTTCAGGTGGGTCTTGGAAGGGTGAAAACACCAGCTTCCCCTCTCAATTTACTCATAAACCCTCATCCTATAAAAATAATTTCTAGTATGTGTTGCAGAGCAGTCCTGTTCAACACGGCTTAATTCAGTAATTCTACATGTGGGGTTGATCCTTGTGTGCAATGTTAGTTGGTATCTTGTCATGGTTTAACCCCAACCAGCAACTAAGCACCACGCAGCTGCTCTATCGCTTCCCCCGTCAGCCGGACAGGGGAGAGAAAATAGAACAAAAGGCTTGTGGGTTGAGATGAGGACAGGGAGAGATCACTCAACTAATGACTGTCATGGGCAAAACAGACTCGACTTGGGGAAAATTAACTAATTTATAACCAATCAAACCAGAGTAGGGTAATGAGAAATAAAACCAAATCTTAAAACATCTTCCCCCCACCCCACCCTTCTTCCCAGGCACAACTTCAGTCCCGAATTCTCTGCCTACCCCCCCCAGTGGCGCAGGGGGACGGGGAATGGGGTTTACGGTCAGTTCATCACACATTATTTCTGCCGCTTCACCCTCCTCAGGGGCAGAACTCATCACACTCTTCCCCTGCTCCAGCATGTGGTCCCTCCCACAGGAGACAGTCCTCCATGAACTTCTCCAATGTGGGTCCTTCCCACGGGCTGCAGTTCTTCACAAACTGCTCCAGCGTGGGTCCCTTCCACAGCGTGCAGTCCTTCAGAAGCACACTGCTCCAATGTGGGTCCTCCACGGGGTCACACCTGCCAGAAAACCTGCTCCATGGGCTCCTTTCTCCACAGATCTGCAGGTCCTGCCAGGAGCCTGCTCCAGCACAGGCTTCCCATGGGGTCACAGCCTCCTTCAGGCATCCACCTGCTCCGGCATGGGGTCCTCCCTGGGCTGCAGGTGGATATCTGCTCCACCATGGACCTCCCTGGGCTGCAGGGGGACAGCCTGCCTCACCATGGTCTTCCCCACAGGCTGCAGGGGAATCTCTGCTCTGGTGCCTGGAGCATCTCCTCCCCCTCCTTCTACACTGACCTTGGGGTCTGCAGGGTTGTTTGTCTTACATGTCCTTACTCCTCTCTCCAGCTGCAGTTTCTGTGCCACAGCAACTTATTTTGCCTTCTTAAATATGTTATTACAGAGGCACTACCATCATCACTGATGGGCTCAGCCTTGGCTGGCAGCGGATCTGTCTTGGAGCCGCCTGACATTGGCTCTATTGGACATAGGGGAAGCTTCTAGCAGCTTCTCACAGAAGCCACCCCTGTAGCCCCCCTGCTACCAAAACCTTGCCACGCAAACCCAATACACATCTGCTGAGGTATCTTTCAGAAGTTTATTAGCATTGCTTAGTCTTATTTGAGATGAGTTCCAGCTTGACCACAGATCCCATTTTTTTCACTTGGGGTGAATTGGTTTCCAGTTGTAGGCTTCTGTCCTAGCAACAGAAAGTTGGACTGATGGAAAATTAGATGATCTCTCAGTTAAATTTAATTTGATGCCAGGGAAGCTGCAGGACATTTGAGGGGGTGATGAGTGTGAGATGGTTTGAGGGGGTGCGTGAAATGCTGTGGACTTGTCTTCTCAGTTGTCTGATCCCTGTAGGTTTGAATTCATACTCTTCTTTTGAAAGGCTGCACTCGCAAGACCAGAATCATCGATGTCGTCTACAATGCTTCAAACAATGAACTGGTGCGGACAAAGACCCTGGTGAAGAATTGCATCGTTCTCATTGACAGCACCCCGTACCGGCAGTGGTACGAAGCCCACTATGCCTTGCCCCTTGGACGCAAGAAGGGCGCCAAACTGGTGTGTCTGGGATTGATGTTGTCATTTTGACACCTTGTCAAAAGTAGAGTCTGCCCTGCTAGAGGCAGTTAGCCATTGGGAGTGGACAGTGCCTGCCAGAATAGGGTTGAGTACCCACCAGTGATAACGTTGGTTGTCTGGGTGACATTCCTGTCAGTTCCCAGGATAAGTCTGGCTCTGTTAATGGAATGTTCAGTACCATGGAGCTCTCTCTGAGGCATTGCACCTGTTTGTACACAAGGACCTGCCTATCGATCCCTTTGGTCTTCTAATGATGATACTTTTGTCCAGTTCTGCTACTGAAGGGAGAACGATGACACTTTATGGTGCTGAGGAGGACTTTGCAGGTCAGGTCCTAGTGCTGGGGAATGATTGCTTTGATGATAAGCTTGTAGATTGCAAACTAAACTTCAGCTTGCTTTTAAGTGCCTTTAAACTATCCAGACCCATTGCCTTTTAATTTTGTTAAGATCCAAACCCCAGACTGCTAGAAGGTATTTAAACCCTTATGTGTAGCACTCAGCTTTAGGTCGTCTTGCATTAAAAACAGAGCACTTTTAGCTGAGCGCTGTGCAGTTCAGAAGCACGGGGAGAGCTCGTAAACCTGTCTGCCAGGACTTGCACCACACCCAAGTGCTGTCATGTCTGGAGAGGGAGAGTATTCACTTTTCTGGAGGAGGATTAATTCATCAGGGAAACCTTTGCAATATCATTTGTCGAAGAGCACCCTTCCCTAGGGCACTGTGCTTTGTTGTCAGCAGTGACTAGTTAGCAACATGGCATTTCTTGGCCTCCAAAGTGAAACAGCACCTGGTTCTGTGAGGTGGACATATTTGTACTTCTAGAAGGTTTGACTTGGGAAACACAGTACAGCACTGAGAATACAAGGGTCTCCTTGATGTTAGTGGAGACCACCTGCTCTAGGAGAAGGCGGCCATGTGCTTAATCTTGTCTTAAACTTACGGTCTTGTTTTTAGACTCCTGAAGAGGAGGAAATCTTGAACAAGAAGCGTTCAAAGAAGATCCAGAAAAAATATGATGAGCGAAAGAAGAATGCCAAGATAGCAAGTATTCTTGAGGAGCAGTTCCAGCAAGGAAAGCTGCTTGGTGAGTCCCTGGCAGCACTCATGTGGGTGAGGATAAGGGAGTTGGGGCACGAACAGTGTGCCAGAGCAGAGCTAGCTGCAGGGTGAAAGTGATGGGGTGTTCTCCATATCTGCAGGGGTATCTTCTGGGTCTTAAACGTAACTTGTTCTTTTATCTTCTCTGGAGTCACACCACTTCTGGCAGGAAGAGGAAATCTGTTGCTGGAGCTTGAACTGGTACATGTCCCAGCCAGGCTCCTGGAGTTGATCATTCCTGGTTGGCCTTTGAGAAAAATAGTGGCCCTCAAAACTTGCAAAATGAGCAAAGACCTGTGGTCTGCACTGTGTGTCAGGAAAATGTCCCACAAACTTGTAACAGCTTTGACCAGTTTCAAGTTCTGAGGAATAGTTCAGTGTTCTGAAGTCTTCTGGTGATGAGATCTTTGTCCAGTTCTGCTACTGAACTTGAGCGATGACAGTTTGGAGATCTGAAGAGGACTTCATTAGGGACTCAGTCCAGCAGAGCAGGTTCAAGAGCACGGTACCTTAGGGGGAGGTACTGAAGCCAGCACATAAACTGGTGTGTCTATTACTGATAACTTGCTCGTCTCTGCTTTTGCAGAGAGACTGCCTACAGCGTTTATTTCATTTTGTGTATATACTGGGGAGGTGAATTATTAAACTTCTTTAATTGGATGACTTCTTGTTGCAGCCTGCATTGCCTCCAGACCTGGACAGTGTGGCCGAGCCGATGGCTACGTGTTGGAAGGCAAAGAATTAGAGTTCTACTTGAGGAAGATCAAGGCCAGAAAAGGCAAATGAATAAAAACTATTCTGCTGAGAGAACGAATAAAACCAAGAGTCTACTACAGTAAAGGGGTTGTGTGCTCATTTGTGTGTGCAGGGTGGAGGGGGCTTGCGTAGCTCCTGCTGCCTGTAAAATATGAAGGAAGAAGGATCTCTCCTGGAATCCTGAGCGCTTTTTGTCTTCAGACAAGCTCTGATCCTACATGCTCTCGACTAAAACATCTCCCTGGGTTCTAGGACAGTGACTTAATGGACCAAGTGGGTGTGGAAAAGTGTTGTCAGACTTGGCTCAAGTGGAGAATTTCCAGTACTGGAAACCTGCGAGCAGGAGGAAGGTGCAAATGCCCACCTCCATTGAGAGTTCTGGCTTTCTGGGAACTGCCAGAGTCTGGCTGGGCACGCGTCCCCCTTCTTCTGTGGTGTGTTAGGTCAGCACACGCCGCATTTGGGGTGTTGGAGTGAGGTCAGTGGGGAAAGAGGTCCCACTGCTTCAGGAGAGGGCTGTCCGGGGAGCAGCTCTGCAGCTGCAGCAGTTTGTGTCTTAGACTGCGTTTGTGCTACATTTGGCTGAAAAATGGTTTCTTACACCTTTGGCCTCTGCAGCTGGTACCTCCTGCCTCCTCTTTGCAGATCACACATGCTCACATCCTGTGGTTTGAGCCAGCAGCCCCTTTTGCCATCGCTTGGTGTTTCCTGCCTGGCTGTACGATTGCCTTCAGGATCCGGTATCTTCTTTTAACTGAACTTGGCTGCACTGCTCAATGACCAGCTGGTCTTCCCCTGACCTCCTTGGTCTCATTCCAGTGCAAGATAAATTCCTTCTAGCAGAAGGGCCAGTCTCTCATCATGGTCTGTCCCTTTCGAAAGCTGGGTACAAACTCCAGCTTTCTGCCCTGTCACTTGTGGTGGGATTGGAAAGCTGTGGTGAACAAAAGCTTTTCCGGATGTTGTGGGGCATGTGATGTCATTCCTTGGGGCTGATGTCTTTTAAGAAAGCCGGCGTGATGGATCTCTGCATCTAGTTGCCAAATACTTTGTGCAGGTGTCATGGTTTAACCGCAGTCAGCAACTAAGCACCACGCAGCTGCTCACTCACTTCCCCTCCCACCCAGTGGGATAGGGGAGAGAATTAGAAAAGAAAAGGTAAAACTTGTGGGTTGAGATAAGAACAGTTTAATAGAACAGAAGAAACTAATAATAATAAAATTACTAATAATAAAAGGATTGGAATATACAAAACAAGTAATGCACAATGCAATTGCTCACCACTTGCCAGCTGATGCCCAGTCAGTTCCCAAGCAGTGATTTCCCCCCTTCCCAGCTCCAGTCCCCCCAGTTTATATCCTGGCCATGACATCACATGGTATGGAATACCCCTTTGGCCAGTTTGGGTCAGCCGTCCTGGCTGTGTCCCCTCCCAACTTCTTGTTCCCCTCCAGCCTTCTTGCTGGCTGGGCATGAGAAGCTGAAAAGTCCTTGACTTTGGACTAAACATTACTTAGCAACAATGGAAAACATCAGTGTGTTATCAACATTCTTCTCATACCTAACTCAAAACCACAGCACAATACCAGCTAGTCGGAAGACAATTAACTCTATCCCACCCAAAACCAGGACAGCAGGTAACTAGGGTGAAGCTGGGAGCCCATCTAAGGGCTGGTCCTGGCGCTGTGGGCACAGGCCAGACTCGCACATCTTACATCTGCCATGTGGACACACTGCATGTTTCACCCCACTTTTATATTTTTACGAAAGCCTCATTTATCCATAGGTGCACTCTGCTGCGAGGCAGGCTACCTGCAGCCCCAGCTTCACTGAATTCCAGTTCATTTTTAGCTCTGAACTGAAGGAGATGGTCCGTAATCACCAAGCAGAGCTATGGTGAGACCCATGTCTCTAGTGCCTTAAAATGCAGACTCTCTGCCCCACAAAGAGCTTGTGCTTGGTGGGTTTTTGTGTTTTTCCTGTGGCACTCTGCCCCGGCTGCCCTGTGTGGCAGCAGGAGGTGCTAGCGGTGTCCTGGGCAGCGTGGGTTCATCCTGCCTTGCTGGCAGGGAGCTGAGGGTGGGTGAGACACAGCAACCCCATCAGGAAATGGTACCTGTTGCCCGGATGGCTGCAGCAGCACGGTTACGCCGTGGTGGGCAGGCGTTGGCACTGCCTTGCAGCTTGGGTCTCCGCTCGTGTGGGCACTGCGAACAGAGCCGTGCCCACCTAGTGCAACTGGGAGTCCCTGGCTGGGCGGAATGTTTGCACAAGCACGTTCCTTCTCCATAGTGATCTGGGGTAAACTTTCCCTGCTCTCCAGCAACGCCTGCTTTCCAGAGAGGTGGGGCAGAGGCGATAAAGGGCACTTGGGAGGGATGCGTCATGGCTGCTTCCTCTGCATATTTCTTCTTTCCCCTCGCCCTCCGCAGAGCTCAAACAGGATTCAGGGTGTTTCTGGGGGACTTTGTACAGATGGAGAAACCAAGGCTTGTGGAGCAAGTGCCAACTTGGTGTCAGAGCAGGAGCTGTAAACCTGGCCCCTGATGAGCAGGGTTATGGCCAATTCATCAATGCACGCTGCTTATAAAGTTACTGCTCTGAAAAACGCAGCTGCCAAGGGCAATAGCCCATGGGAACGAAAGTGGCACCTATCGCCCACCGCAGCCGCGCTGTAGGTGTGACATGGGAACGGGACGGTGGCAGCTGGCCAGGGGCGTGTGGCACCTGGCTCCCACGGTGGCCCAGCCTGCGGGACCTCGTGGAGCTTGGCCGCAGGATGTCTCATCTCTGGTCTGGCCTTGGCATAGCCCCGTGGGTGTGCACAGGGATTTACCTGTCTGGGAGGAGGCAAGCCTGCCAGGCACTGAGCCAGAAAGAGATGGGCAGGGGCTGGGGTTAAGCACAGCTTTAGTCTGGCTACGTTTTTGAGGTGCCAAAGCATAGTCTAAAGACCTTACCCACCTCTGCACATAGGTGTGAGGGCTGAATTTTAAAAAAGTTACTTTTCATACCATGAGCAGTCAGCAGCGAAACCCAAGTGAGGTCACTCATTCTGAGTGCAGCTCCTTGCTGTTGAGTGGCTCTCTCAGCTCCATGTGGTATTAACTTTGGAGTGTTTTCACAGGACATGGTCCAACCCAGAAAATGACCTCGTGGTCACACTTTAACAGGTCCAGCAGTGGCCCGGAGGGTAGCGGAGGAGGAGTGGGGCTGGCTTGCTGGGGGCAGATGGGAGCTTTAAAGGAAAGATGGCTTTGGGAAAGAGGGGCTTGCAGGAAAGGGAATTTTTTAACAGTTCTGCTAATATTGTCAGGGGAAACATGTTTGTCTGAGTGCAGGAATTCTTCTACAGGGGCTGAAAGCATCTTTCTGTTTTTTTTCTGGCTGCATCACTTGGTTTAATACCTCACAACCATCACTGGTGTCAGTCCCTGGGTCTGTGTCCTTTTTGCCCTAGGAGAACGTGGGCATTCCTTGAAAAATATCTGAATTCACCCACTTTTTGAATAAATGTGATGTCCCTGCTGTCTCACTGCTGGGGATGATTCACTCTGAGAAGGAATAACCTCAAAGCTGAGGTTGGCAATAGCTTTATTAATATTGAGGGGACATCCCCATCATGGTGTTGGTTTTCTGCAAGACTAATGCCCTCATCCCCTCCCTTGCTTGTGGTCTGGGCTGTCCCCTGTCCCATGTGCTGGGCCATGGGAGCAGGGAGTGAGCCTGGCCAGCTGCAAGTTGGCAACATCATCACACAGATGAGCTAAATCCTGCAGGTTTGGGGTGAACAGCTAGTGTTGAAGGCTGTCTGCCCAATCCCAAACCCACCCGCATCTTCCCATCAACCTGGGGACACATCTTGGCTTGGGGCTGGTGGCAAAAGACCTGGCAATGTCCTGCTTCTGGACAGGGGGTCTGAGGGGGGTGGCTGGGGACAGGGAGCTTTGTGGCTGGCAGTGGTGGTGCTTTGGGGTGAGGGCAGCTCTTCTGCCCCCAGGAAAGGGGTGCTTTTGGGGCAGCCTCAGGGCTTCCAGGACTCTGGTGGGTCAGCCCCAATGCTGTCGCTGGACGGTGCCTTCACCTGGATCAGCAGCAGATCCTTTCTCTGTGTTTCAGAGGCCTCGGGTGGCCACGTCCCCCCCGGGCAACTGCCAGGCATGGTGGGCTCACTGGCCCGTCTCTCCTCATCCTCCGTCTCTTCCTCCTCGATGCGGGCCACCGACTCGGGGTCCTCGGAGCGGTTGGGGTAAGGGGAGGGGAAGCTGCCATCCGCCCGGGGACGCCGCAGGTGGGGGTGACCTCGGCTGCCCCGGCCGAAGTTTTTGATGCTGATGGCGGGGGACGCAGCAGCGAAGAAGCGGCTGAGCAGAGGCGTCTGGATGCGCGGTAAGCTCGGCGAGGCCTCTGCCGGCTGGCTCTGCTCCGCATCCTCGCACATGCTGGGGGAGCACGGCAGGGTGATGGGTCAGGCTGCCATCCTCCCCAGGGATGCCCAGGACCACTCACCGCCTCCATCCCAATGCATTTGCAAGCAGGGAGCCGCTCCGGGAGGCCACATCCCTGCCCCTGCGGCTCATCCATCACCCAGTGCAGCCCCCAGGCCCCACAGGGGCAGGTCAATGCACTCCCAGAGGGGATTTGCCGTTTGCTCACTGTAATTGGGCCCAGGGGGGGACAAGCCTACTTGTGCTATTGCTACCCTAAAGCGCTCACCCTCTTTTTCTCCAGCCCCAGGGCTGTGCCGTGCACTCACCGCATGTCAAAGGTGGAGCCCAGGAACGAGGGCTTCAAGGTCTCAGCAGCTGTGGCCATGGTGTAGGGGGGCTGAGCTGTGGACTCGTTCCAGTATTTGTCCTTCACAGCGGGGGGCAGGTTCTGGTACATGTCATCCACGGAGAGCAGGGACACCTGGCCATGGCAAAAGCAGGGGACAGGGGTGGCTTTGCAAGGACATGAGCAGGACCAGTGGCTGCAGATGCTGCTCCCGGTGCCAACCTGGCAGGGGGAGG